TATAACAGCATCTAAGAACTGCAGTGAGTCACTGTGGCACAGCCCAAAAGAAGTAGGTGGCCATCAAGGCGCTACTGTTAGGAGAGAGAAGGATTTATCATACAGTATTGAGCGATGGCAGATCGTTTGTCCACGGTGTACCATTCCGGAGTCTTGTAAAGCATCTTAAATTACATTCCAGCTTAGGTCCGCCATTGTAACTTTATTTCGTTGTCTGCTTGAAGTGCAGCGATACATCACACAAAATAATGAAGGACAAGTTTATTTTGGCTTATACAGGACTTTCACTTAAGCTGTAGTGATCCCTCCTTGGGGGCATTTGGGAATGTAGGAACACAGGTAAAGTGTAAACAAGTGCTGGCACAGTATTTCAAAATGACAGAATGCTGTTCTAAGCTAAATAATAACTGACATCTTAAATGACACAAAAACATCCGAACTCTATTTTCGTGCTATAAATATTTTAGTACACGACTATATACTAAATATATAAATGTGAAATTTATAAATGTGTTAAACTGATCAAAACTGAAAGAAAAAGACTTGTAAAAATGCATAACGGCCATTTTGAATATTGCCTTTCATGCAGTGTGTAATGTAACTGTATGTGAATGCAAATGATCTGCAAGATGTAAAGCCGAAAGTGCATGATAAATAAAGTTATTGTCTCCCAAAAGAAAGAATCAACTCTAAACAGCATAATAGAGTCATTAGTATTTCGAATCCCACTTCCGTGACGGCTACACTGGGTAACACATTTGCATAATGCCCATCTATGTTCTACGTTAGCCAGTTGCGCACAACTATACCCAAAACGAAAGCATTGTTTGACCTTGCATGCATGTACACCTATTGTAGGAGACTCCCAAAACAATATTAGGAACCTTAAAAATGGCATAATAGGGGCACTTTAAAAAAAATCTCACTGGCCCCAAACCTTTGAAATGTAGTATACATCATGATTTGAAAAAGTATTAACTGAAAAATTACCTAATAGGACCTGCAGAATGTTTGTGCTAAAACTACACTTTTTCAATTATAAAGATGCTTTTTAAAAAACATTTTTTCTCTTTTTTCTTTATTATTACATTTTATTTCAAATATTTTTTTTTTATGCTACAACATAAAACTAAGTAGCATTAACCGATCCAGTGAAGTGAGTTTTATTGTGGCTGACATCATCAAACTAATGTCACGGTGACATCAGCAAAGTGTCTTATAAGCTTGTTAGAGACGTGGTGGCTTTTACCCTTCGAGTGGGTTTTCTGTGCGTTACGGTGTTTTTTTACAGGCACTTGTTTGGCACTGCTGATGACATCATATGATCTAATGTGCCAGTGCAACCTCAGTCTATTGTTAAATTAATAACAAGAAAATTTGAGAGTGTGTGGGAGATGGATAAGCGAAAAAGAAAAGGACTGTGTGTGTCTGTACACGTCCGCCTGTAAGTGTATGTTACATATTTAATTTATGTCAGCCCCTCTATTTTGTTCTTTTCTCCCATAATGCACCTCTCTAATACAAATGGGATAAAAGCAGCTTCAATGGGGCAGAAAACAGCTTTAGTGTTTAACTCTTCAGACCTGGCTCTCTTTCCTTCTTTTCCTCCAGTTTTCTTTCGCTCTCTGCTCCGTCATATAGACCCTAAACACATATGCCCAGACCTCATTCCAGAAACTGAACATGCAAACCACATAAAGCAGCTCATCGAATATTCAGTCCTGCCCCCTCAGTGTGCGTTAGTGCTCCCTGCCCTTTCTTTCCCATATCAGAGGTGGAAACATGGATAAAAAGATGCGCCCCGGCGCCTTCATTTTTAATAACATAGAGGAAAATCTGGGTTTACAGTGAAGCAAAGCATCCTCCAGGACCCTCAGATACACACTCTCAAAACACACTCACGCTCCCCCCAGAGTACACCGCAAAAAGACATGCAGTTGAACTTGATCAAAGCAGGCCAAGAGACACAGTGGTGGTACAAGAGAGAAAGGATGTATAATACTATAGAGATAAAGGCCATTCTGAAACATTCTAAAGCAATACTTCACACAAAACCTAAAATTATGGCATTATTAAGTCACTCCAAACTTAAAAGTTGTAGTTTTTTCCATGGATCACAAAAGGACACGTTTTGAAAAATCTTTACATGGTTCGGTCTAACTCCTACTTGTTTAAATCTCTTCTTTTGTGTTTCATAGGGGAAAAGGATGATTAATATAATAGGTGCTGCACTTAGAGATCAACAGATAATCGATAATTGAGACGGGTCTACCTACAAATGCATGTAAACGTACATGCAGTATGCAGCCAGTATACTATGCAGCCACAGTTTTTAACAAAATCCACTCGTGCAATACTTCAATACTGACAGTATAGTAAAATCATACTCTTTACTTAATTTTCATACAATTTGTGATTTAAAAAGAAAAACTTGGCAAGATAAACATGTTGTGTAGAAAATCAGTCCTGTGCTAATAGCATCATGTATACAAAAGTCACATTTCAAATATTAAATAGCATCATGTATGCAAAAGTTACATTTAGGATGCCAAATGTTCTATAGTGCTAAATCAACTAAATATGTCTAAACACTAAATTCATTAACACCATTAACTCATTTACCTAATTTGAAAATGAAGCGGTTTTATTCTGTTCAGTCTAATCAGAAAGACTGAGACCAGAAACATCACAAGCCGACCTTGATGTAACGGTCAGAGGTTATTTATATAAATTAGGGCTGCACAATAAATCGCATGCGATATTTAACGCGCATCTTATGAGTAAAGCCGGTTCTGTAATCAGCGGTAAATCTCCATCACCTGCGTGCTTTCACATTGAGCAGCATTAACTACACAGAGCCTTTGTTCACAGGCAAGCTGCGCAAAACCACGTTCATATTCGCGCGCTTTTTTGCGCAGCTCGTCGGTGAACAACGGTTCTGTGTAGTTAATGCTGCTCAATGTGAAAGCACGCAGGTGATGGAGATTTACCGCTGATTACAGAACCGGCTTTCTGACAAGATGCGCATTAAATATCGCATGCGATTTATCGTGCAGCCCTAATATAAATATTTAATAAAGCGCTGAGAAAAGACTTACTTCATTTGTGTGCAAATACATTTGGCTTGGTATTTTGTTATTTTATGCAAGGAAAACTTCATACATGCCAATGTACACTTCTCTTTTAAAAGTCTGAGGTCAGATTTTTTTTAATAAATGTATACTTTTTTCAGCAAAGACACATTAAACACATCAAAAGTGACAGTAAAAACATGTATAATTTTACAAAAGATTTCTATTTCAACTAAATGCTGAAATGCTGTTCTTTTGAACTTTCTATTCATAAAGGAATACTGAAAAAAAATTCTACAAAAATACTGGGAAAAAATACTACATATTCTCAACTGTGATAATAAATGTTTTGTGAGCACCAAATGTGACAATGAAGACTGAAAAATTCAGCTTTGCCATCACAAGAATAAATTATATATGATAAATTATATGTATTAAAACATTTTCCATGTATGTATTAAAACAGTTACTGTAATTGTAATAGTATTCTCAAAATATTACTGTTTTTACTGTATTTTAAATCAAATAAATGCTGCCTTGGTGAGTGGAAGACACTTTTCCTACAGACACATTAAAAAGATCTTACTGACTTCTTATTGAATGTGAAAGGATCTGACAGCAATTGTGATATTTTCTGCCTCTCTATTTCTGTTTATTTCAGACTTGGAAATGCATTGTGCTTGACATGTTATTGCACAGCCAATACAGCCAAGGCTGTATCAGCCTCGGTATCAAAAGGAACTCTGGGAGATGATTAAAAGAAGGGATGAGAAGTGTTATGGGAGACAGCAAGCAGGGGGCCTCTTAATGTTTGAGTTTCATTCACATCAGCCCCAGCATTTGACTCCCTAAGCAGCGCTTCCCTCCTGAAGAGTCTCTTCACTTATTACCCTCCAAGCTCTACCGCAGCACCGGGGCCTAATGTGTCAAATACGAAGTTGGAGGATGTCGCTCGAAGGAAATTAGATAATGAAAAATATGAACCTTATGAATTCTAAGCAACTTTCAATATATACACTTGCCATCACAAATAACTTGTCATACATACAATGAGAGAATAAGCAGATAGTAAAACAAAAAACTAAAAGCAAGACTTAAAAAGAATCTACTAATTACATAAAAACTAAACGCACATTACATAAGAATTAAAACATTAAAATCATTGTCTGGTTTAAGTGAGAAACGTTTCTAACCATGAGCTTTGACAAAGTAGCACAATCCACTTACTTTGTGATTGTATTTCATCACTGTTAAAAGGGATTGTGCGTTCATCTAAAATTATCAAATCACTATTTGGAAGGGTAGTTTGAAGTGAACTCAGCCAGATGATGCAATGGGATGACATGGTCGTCTACAAGAAGTTTCTACAGTTTATGTGGATGAAGACTGTGTAGTAATAGCCTAATAGTCAAATGCATCCATTTGATAATGAATTAAAAATGTAAAAAAATCATTGATGTTTAACGTAAAATAAAGACAGCATCAATGAATCCATTTGCAATCATAAACTTTCTCGGCTCTTTTGAGGCAGCTCTGTCACTACCCCGGCCACAGGTTTCTGTCACACCTACACAACTGCAACCCATTTTGCTATAAACACAGCTCATTGCCAACTTTGCAGAAACAAATAGACAGACAGAGGGACAGTGACAGGAAGACTGGCAATCCGTCAGGCTATATCTGATGCAGATGGCATGACTGATAAAGAAAATCTGTCAGGTATCTGAATTGTGTCTCGTTTAATGCCACACAGCTAGACAATCCAAAACATGGCATTGAATATTTGAAATCAAGCTTTCTGTTTAGGCCTTGGTGGAAAACATCTGATTGATGCCAGATATGATGAAATATTCTGTGGTGGTTGCTGTAAATGCAAAGTCGAGGACAAATAAAGCACATAGAGTCAGCAAGGCGGTAATGCATGCTTACCTTTTCGGCCATTGTCATGGCAGAGCCACCATGGATTCCCAGTATGGGCATGGAAGTCTGAGAGGAAACAAAGTCCAGCATCTGTGCCACGGCTTCCTGGTCCGTGCCGTCTCCATAGACCAGCCCGTGCAGCCTCTGTCGGGACATGAGCTCACACAGGTGCGTAAGCATGCTTCCTGGGTCCGTCTGGTTCACCTGGACGCTGAGAACAGTCACATCCAGAGGCACACCTATCCCACGAGCCGGACGCAGGGCTGATTCGGATACAGTGGGGGTTTGGCCCAGTATCACAGCTACACTCAGGGATGGAGGCTTCTCTGCGGCCTGCGACCAACCCAGCAAAGCCCATAAGACCATCAAGCAGACTACAGCTCCCATCATTCCTGGCTTCAGCCCCTGTTAAGATGAGAAGTTTTAAAAAGATGCAAAACACGCTCAGTCTTACCAATCAGGCTTACCAGATCTCAATAGACCAAAATCAGATAACGCACATCCATAAATCACATTCGCCCTGTTACTTGGCACGCTATGATTCAGTGGAGGGGGACTGGGAAGCGAATCCGGAAGACAAGCTTTTAAAGGTTAAGATGATATGGCACTCTGTTCAACTACTCAATCATTTCAAGTCAATACTTTTCAATTAGCCTAAACAGTTAAATGGAACAGTGGTTCACTTATTAGCAATTAACTCTGATGTACTGTCTTACAATATGTCACCGTGGTTGCATTTAAATGGCCTGTCTAATTGATAGGACTCTTCAATTGCTTATAACGATTCTAGGCGGAATTTGATGCTCAAATGATTCCAGATGGCTAGTGTGGCTGTCTCTTAAATTATAGTAATAATTGATGAAACCATGCACTAACTGGAGTGCATTATAACTTCATGAGTGAAGAACAGCTTACACATGGTTAAATTTAAGTACGTTGATGTCAGCGGTTCAAAGATGGTTCAATCTCAAGAGATTGAATGTAGAAGTCAACTTTGGAATTAAGGAAACTGTACTTATGGCTTAAAGGAATAGTTCACTCCAAACCTCAATCGGCACCTATCCCTATTCATTTTCACTGTAAGGAAAACAGCAGTGTGAATGTACTTCAAATAAATCTCCTTCTATGTTAACAAAGAAAAACCATACAGATTTGGAACGACTAAACAGTGAGTGAATAACTGACAATATTCTTTTAAGGTAAAAAAAAAATAGATATAGATTTTTTCCTGTTCATTTGGCTCCTTTTATCAAGGTAGAGATACTTTGCTATCAAACATGCTTTGATAGCAAGATTGATCGAATTCACTCTGAACTTTTCACTCTCAGAAATGTCACTGGATACGCCTGCTTCATCCCTGGAGTTTAGTCATCAGTCATATTTGCACCTCCATTTCATTCACCGACTACCTTGGGCCATAGCCAATAACCACAGATGAAAAAGTACTCTGATGATGTTGAGAATTATAACAAAAATATATTACCTAGTACAGTCAAATATCCTGTTTCTTATTTAACTCTGGTTGAAAATGTCATTGGTAACACACAAGCAGGGCATATATACAGCAGCATCATGAAATCGTGTCAGTTTGTCTCTTAATATACTGTATGTGCCAGGGCATGTAATTGAAAATCAATACTCATCATGACACAAAAATCAATAAAGTGAAATAAACCCTACAGTCTCCACAGCTTGAAATTTGGGAGTTTGTTTGGGGTGCTCAGCAATGAATGATGTGATAAGAATGTGCTGCCATCAGCTACTATGAGTACTACCATTTTTTATCACCAGTCCTCAACAAAGGACAAAGCTTAATGCAGAAGCTTTTGAATGCACAGCTTAATAGAAAAAGTAAATATATATATAAATATATATAAATATATATATATAAATATATATATATATTAGTATTATTTATATATATATATATACACACACACACAAGCAATTAAATGAGTATGCTGATTTTTATTAGTAATTTTAAAATCACAACATTGATATAGCAATGCATGAGCAGAAACGGATGACCGTTACTGCCTGATGCATTATATAATTCCTCCTACAATGTCATTTTTGAATAAATGAAGCAAAGAGTTGTTTAACACTTGACAAACTAATAATTTATTGATGCGTTTTCAATTGTTGGCAAACACTTATAGCAGATAGTAAGAGGGTTTTGCTTCTGTCAGCTTAAACATTCATCTGTATTGTGAAGCATACTAATTAGTGCCAATCACATAATTGCCTAATTGCTTTCTTAATGGTTGCACTGGTAGTTTGTGAGGGTCCAAAAGTGGTACATGCCTCAATGACCACATTAGAGATTCCAGAGACAGGCAGTTGTGCTCTGTTACCCCTGTAACTTTCTCATTTAGTATACTTGCTAACATCCATAATTGGCATACTCACAGAGCTACCCCAGCAAAGCAACCATGCCCTTAAGTCTACCCCGGACTAGCACTTAGCGTTTGCAAATGCAGTGCATCACTCTGCATCTCGTTCTGCATGTGCATCTGTCAGATTTGTTGGACGTTTTACAAGTAAACAGTGTGTAATGTTTTCAGTCACATTAGACATCACTTTCACCCTAAGCTTGCTACAACTGAAGAGCAGCCAAGGATCAAAATAGAGACAGTTCATTTCGCTTACAAAAACAGACCCATGGATTTTTACGCATCAATTTAAGCAATGCTGCCAAAAACGTCTTGCCAATAGGAGTGTTTGTACGAGTGAGGTTTGAGTATATGCCTGGAAGTACCAACCACAGTTTTGATGGTCTGTCACAGCCCATATTTCATAATTCAAAACCACACCATAAAGTGCCAAGTGCAGATCGGCTCCTCTGTTAGGAGAATATCACCGCTGAGATCACTTCTCTTCGCAGGCGAATGGGGAGGTTGTGGGTGGATTTCTGAGTTTGACTGTGTGGAAAGGTGGAGGGGTCAATAGTTACGAGTACTCTCAAAATAAGCACCTGCACTAGGTCCTCCTCCCCCATCCATTTCTTTTTCTGACCAACACGTACGCTCATATATTCCTTCTGTTTAAGGTCGAAAACATATTCTACCTAAGTATTTAAATGCAGACCGTTTACAAAATGTGTAGAAAACTGTTACATAGTCCGTTTTCTCTTTCAGGTCAATACTGTTATGGTGAAGCAACAGTTTGAAGAAAATCTTGCTATGCAAATTTAAACTCCGTACATATTATAGCAAATTTCATTTTAATTGCCAGAAATTTTGAAGGTAACTCCATTGCCCCCTTGAATCCTGAGGTTTGGTACCACCACAAGAGCGCATTAAGTACATTCAACAGGGCAGTGCATTAGCCAAGTGCTCATGTCTGCGTTCACGTATTTGCTTAAATTATGTTCCTGGCCTAAGGCATCACAAGAGTTGGCCCAATATAGCAAATGTAAGAATGCATTGCTGTATATATCTGGGTGTTCAGTTAAGGTCATTTTATCAAGACGTGTATAAGTGTCTCTATACATGAATGTGTGGGAAGGGAGGGGGCGGTTTTGAAATATTTCAGCTTCTAAAATTGTATCCTCCGTTGCAGGAAAGACTATTTCAGGACTGGTCCTGTAAGCAAGAGGAAAACATCAAAAATGTGTTTGGACAACGTGACTGCACCCAAATCTGCAAGTCCCTCATTCCCCGTTTAGACCGAACCCGCGAAACAACGGCGCCCCCTTACGGATCTCCCTGTCAGCCACTTCACACCTATTACTAAAACGTTCAATATTTAAAACGTATCTTACCTTGCGTGTCACGAGGTGTCAGTGAAGAAGACTCGCCGTGGTTGAAATGTGCCATCTGTGAAACTGACCGACGTCTTGTGAATGTTATCCACGAAGATTTCCTCACAGAGAAGGCGCGTTTCTCGGCGCATTTTTTTCCAGACCTTCGGCGAACCACCTTGACAGGAGCTTAAGTGTTCAATGTTCTGGAAAAAAAAGTCAACCAAAATCCTTACACCAGGGTAACAAAAATGACAGAACTCATTATTTAGTGTATTTCTATAACTTATCGCTCGTGTTCAGTAGTCTACGAGCGAAAAGCCACACCAAAAGGCTTCGCGAGTGGGCAAACTGATCTGCGTGGAAGCGTAACGGTTCCCCCGCACAGAACCAAGTCACCTCAGAGGCTGACTACAACACCACATAACCGTGTTTTAAGCAACACCTATCAGTGAGCTTCGAGAGTGAAGTCAGTGATTAAAAGGTACGTGTGTGAGAGACCCGGCGTGTTTAAATAACGGCCGGTGTGGTATTCCCCTCACGCGCGCGCGGGGTTTGTCTCTATGTAGGGCGCTCTCTCGCGCAGCAGGTGTTGCGCATCAAGGCGGTTGAAGTAATTTCTCCCGTCACCAAAATAAGCCAACGATTTCGTCAACGGGAAGCTCCAACGACTCCCAGTTGGCTATGAGAGAGCGAGCTCACATTTGGTAAGGCAAAATAATACGTTTTTTGATGTTTTATTGAAAGTAAAGAGAGAACAACTCACCTAATATCCCCGTTATACATTTCCAATACACCAGTCAGGAAATTAAACCGCGTCCTCAGTAGTCTTCATCGTATAACCTTGATCTTTCTTTATAAACAAATCCGTCAAGTTCAGCGCTCTTAACGGCGTAATTCCACCAGTGTCCTTGTGTTTACCGTGTCCATTCCTTACAGAGATTAACCAGAAAAAGGAAAAGGAAAAAAAACGTTCAGTGATTCAGTCGACATACAACGACCACATGGATTTTTTTTCACCTTAATATTTGTTATTTTTTTCTGATACTCGAGTGCTTTCCGCAGTGGAGCTTGTGGAACAGGTCCGTGTGCCGCCTCTGAGGGGGATTCCGTCAATATCGCATCCTTTTGGAGAAAACAACAGCAACGCGCTGTATTCAGTCGTTAAAACGTCGATAACGGTGATGATGTGTATTTTGGATAGAGATTCCTCTGCGACACCATCGACTGAACTCGAGACATCATGGCAAACTGTCGCGTGCATGTACGCTCCTTAACATATCAGCGCGGAATTGAGACTGTACTTGCCAATGCCTCCCACTCGCTCCGCGCCAAATTCAACTCAATTCTCTTACCTTGCCACCCATAATTAACACAAACATACGTTTCATATACGGATTTGCTGTCTGTCAGTGCAAACAGACTAGTCTCATCGCTTAACTATTTGAGGAAATCATTTGGTTATGAGGCGCGTTCGTATTTCCATCCAACTTTACAGACCATTGCTCTCAGACGCACACTCCATGAATCGAGTAGATGGTAGATTGAGTCTCTCTCTCTCTCTCTCTGTCTCTCTCTCCATCACACACATGAATACAGTCAAATGATAATGAGCACCATTAACAGTCCCCTCGCACGATGGGCGCGTCAAAACTGTGGAAAATTCTCAATCACACGACGCCTCAGTAAGCAAGTCATTTTCCCGCTCGATGTTGCAAAACCATGTCCCATCCACTGTCGCCTCCACCTGTTAAAGAGAGCAAAACAGTTCAACGAACCGACTTCTGTCAATCTCAATGAAAACGGTGATTTTGGGCTTGCTCTGTTTGCGCCAAAATTGGTGGTTCGTTATGAGTCAGACGCTCCCAGCTGTGTAATTTCCTTGTAGGAAATCCACGGGAGCCGTTATGATCCTCAACTCATGCAATTAAATCAAATAAGATCATTCACCCAGTCAAAGGAAAACTGCTTGACAAGTCTATTTAAAGATTATGACCGCGTGTTTAAGTATAGATGTACAGAAGGCACGTGTCCCCTCAGATTTTTGAGCCAAGTGGATTTTAATGCAAATATCTGTATCTTTAAAAAACTAAGCTGCACCATTACTGTGGGTTTTTAAAAAAAGTGTTGGCCTTCTGGTCATGTCTAACCTTACAAAATCTGTTAGACAGAAAGTTCCGCAGATTACCACATAATTCATAAAATGCAACACCATCTGATTCCTTTACCTGAAAATAAAGAGTACAATACTCTCAGCTATGTTTTATTACATTTTACTGTATTGAAATTCATTTTGAAGATTCTCCCCCCAAAATAACACCGAAAATACTTAATAAAAAAACACCACAGATTCCACCTAGTCATGTCTTATCTGGCCTAGGGTACTGAATGAGTCAGAATTGCCACTGGTGCCCCCTGAAAAAAAACTCTGTTTAGATATATTTAAAATAATGACGCATTTCTACTCTAAAAGCGATGGTTGAACCTTATTTGAAACATTAAGATCAGTTTATCAGATTTTTTTGAAAGCATTTGTAGCACTTTATACTGCTGTTCACAACACAGACCAGCCAGCCCACTATTTTATGGTTACCAGGAAACTACGTTTCAATATGATGTAACACTACAAAACCATTTAAAATATATATCATTTAACCATTTAGCATAAACACACAGGCATGCATCGGCAAACTATGCCTCAGGAACGTTCTTTGTCTTGCTGTTTGTCCTCACAAGCGTTATAATTACTCATTCTTTATAGGACAACCTTTACATACTAATATATTCATGTTTAGAAATTACCCACTTTGACAACCTACTTTCCATACATTGATTTTGAAGAAATAAAACTGAATACAACCATGCAAACTACTATAAAGTAGATCTGACGTATCTAAACTCATGTACATCGTAGTGTACTGCTGCTTTTTGTTACCCCCAGCATTTTTTGTCTCACTCATCCAACCAATCATGTTTCAGAATAGGCTGGAAAAGGACGTTTTACAGTCCAGGGAACAAATTTCAAGATGATAAACTTTACCATTTGTAACAGCAGGTCCATTGTGATTATCCATGTCTGTGTATCTCATTTTGGAAACCTATGCCCATTATCTGCTTGCTTGAGCAAATAATGCAAATTCATGGCTCAAAGGGAACTCTGATTTGCTTTGGCAGGAAAGATCTTCCTTTTCTTTTTCAAATCATACATCATCTCATATACAGAACACATCAACAAATGTTTCAGGACATTTACAGTAGCAGAATCTAAAACTTCCAGTGGCTCAAACAGTAGAGAATGGAGCTAACAATGCCAAGGTCGAGCGTTCTGATAAAATGTATTTCTTGAATGGAAAGTAAATTGCTTTCGATAAAATTATCTAACAAATGCACGCTTTCTGGAATGTATTTCTGCTATCCATTCTATTCATTAATTCATTGTCTAATTAACACAGGTTTGTGTTTATGTGTGGGCATGGAAGCGGTATTGAAGCCCCAGAGTATCTGTAACAATTATTAACAAATATTTTATACTGCGTGTGAATCACTCAAAGACACACGCACTTATTTGCTTGTATTAAATCAGCCCTAATGCAGAGTTAAACTGGGTCAAATTAGGAGTTGTTTACTTACTAAATGAAAGCCCAGAACTGACTTGAAAGGAGTCGCAGGTAATTATCCAGAAAGCTCATAATGAAACAATTTTACGACTGAGATAATACATTTTAGACATTTTCTTTTAAGGAGAGAGCTAAATGATATGCTTTGGCAACAGACACAAGCTCATGTTGACTAATGAAGATCCCATTTCCTTGGACTGTTTGGATTTACAATAAACATTTAATTTCCCACATCTCACATCCACTAACAAACATCAATAAATTGTAATTCCGACACAGACAAAATAAACCAAGTGCAAAATAAGTAAGGCAACAGCTACAGCATCACAAAACATGCACAACTTCATTAATAAATGAAGAAGGAATTAAGAAATAAAGAGGTAAAGAAGAAATGGAAGAGAGGTTTGCATGAGTCTGTCATGAGCACAAAAAAGTGGGAAAATTCTGTCTCCATGGTAACCCAATTTTCAGTGTCACCACTTTTGTTACCAAACAGACCATGCTACATTACATAAAACACACACTCACACCACCCTTCACACACAGACAAATGTGCGCACACACTCGCAAACATACATTCACTCAATAGAACAGCAGTTTCACTCTAACAATAGAATTTGCATGACAGTTTTAGCTTTGACGCACCATAATATCTCTAGGACATAGCCATCTTTTGTAATTACTTTATTTTTTTATTAAAAGTAGTCCGAGAGCAAACTTTTACACTTTAACACCCAGAAACATCTTGAGTGATTCAAAACGAAACACCAAGACAGTGTATGCATTTGCAATTAGTTTAAATTAAATCTAATCTTAGTCCTAATTAATCTTTCTTTATACACAACATGACAAATGCACTCACACGAGCCCCGATGTGCATGCATGGCCTCACGTATAACATGCATGCTTTCACACATACTGTGAAAATCACATTCTGCACATAAGCTCAAGAGAGATGTTTATAATGTCTTTAAAATTATCAAATTAAAATGTGAACCTATCTTCATCTAATTTATAATAATAGCGAGATAATGCAGAAAACAGCAACATTTGTCCTCGAATGCAGTGAATCATTCACTAGAGAAAACTTAATGTCTCGTTTTATTTGCGATGTCGTTTTGCAGGATGTCCCATGTTTGTAGTAAATAGTTCCAATTTATTACACTGATTCCTGTTTTATACACTCAATGCAGAATGGTACAGTACATAGTGTGAAATGATGTTGAATAATGGATGCAGTATTATCACAATGCAATGTGGAGGCTGCCAAGCAATTTTACAAGCAACAATATATATTAAATCAGAGGTCATCTCATGCCAACACTGTCAGTAATTCAATTACAAAAGGCATCACAAACACATACAGTACATCAAATATTAAAGACATAAACTATAGAGGTTTTCAGAGCTTCGTGTATTCAATATCCAGCACATGGTCATTAAATGAATGTGAATTCTCATTTTGTATTCAAAATAGTGAGCTTTGCAGTTTTAGCTAAATATGTAATTGCAGATGAGTGGAGGTGGGAAATGTCCAAATTCAAACTGAAAGCATATGTATAGCTGAACCAGATGTCCTTTTTTTTTCTCCAGGTCATTAACATATTTGAGACCCTTATCACGTTTCTGGATTGGTCTGAAATTTGTCTCATATATAAAACAACTACTTTGTTAGGCCTACTGTTCTGGCAAAAAAATGTGACATCTGGTCAACATACTTATAGGATCATTTCCTTTTTGATGATGGTAATTTCAGTCAGATGATCCAATTAATGAGATGAATGGGGAGAGAATTTGAAGGCTCTTCTGAATACTAATGAGCAAGGTGTACAATATTGCAAGACCTCATAAACAGCCAGCTGGACAATGATATGCTCTTGTTTCCACCACAGAAATCACTATAACACCATATGATTAAGAAAGTAATGCAAGGGACAATATCACTGCTACCCAAAAAGACTGTTTTAAGACAGTTTTAACCAGTAATTCAGTATCTGACTATTTCGGTGGTTTATCTGATAGGACAGCTGTGTCCAGTCCTGTTCCTGGAGGGCCGCTTCAATGCAGAGTTTAGCGCCAGCTGTAATTAAACGTACCTTAACCAGCTAATCAACTAAGCTTTTCAGACTTACTAGAAAGTAAGTGTTGTGATGCAGAATGGAGAAAAACTCTACTCTACAAGCTCGAATTATGGTGTTTATTGTAAGTAGTGTATGTCAATGATTATTTCAGTTTACTGTTCCCACCTTGTTACATATCAGATTGTGACAAAGTGATAATTATCTTGCAGACAGTAAAATAAGCAGAATGGTAAAATATAATAAAATACTCATACTTTTTTTTTTTCAGGAAGGATGCATTAAATTGATTAAAACTGATTGACAGCAAAGAAT